TTTTTTTTTTTTTTTATTTCTCTCTTTACATTGCGTTAGGTCGCTTTCTCTTCCCCTCCGCGTGTGTCCTTCTTCCCCGCCTGTGTCTTCTTCCTCCAGCTTTTCCTCCGGACTACATTTTCATACACATCTGTCGAGTTACGAAAGGCGAATTTCCGCAATACTTCCTCCGGTCTCTCTGCGTCACTTTACTCTTCTCTCTCTCGGTTTCATCCCCCGCCCTCCGCCTTTCCACATGCCACAATCCTCTCCGCCCGGAATCTCGTACAGAGGTGATTCGTCTCCGCGCGCGTGTATGCGTGCGCGCAAACCCGGCGTGCACTCATCCTGGGGGTCTGTAAGACTGTTTATTAAAAAGCTTTTAGCGATATTAGACTGTCCACGAAAAGCTGCTTTTCCCGGAACGGACTCCGGGAACCACGTGACCGCGTCTCCTTTCATCATCATCATCATCCCGAGTGAACCGGACCTGGGATTTACGGAAAACTTAAAGGGAGAGAGAGAGAGAGTTGGAAAGTTCAGTTTTTTCTTTAAATTGTTTATAGTCCAATCTTTGAGTTACATTTTCCGAATGTCTATTCGTCGAATTTTCGTCTGAATGGAGAGGTCGTTGATTCTCGAACATCTCCTGACGGGTTTGTCGTCGATAATCGATCGAGAAAACGCGCACGCTTCAAGCATTTCTTTTCCTCCTCGTCGTCGTCCACGATGATGCTGTCTGGAGTTCGTTAAAACACTCTCGAAAAAGCCGCGTGTACAGCCTATGGCTGCGCACCCATTATTCGACTTCTTCCATATTTTCTCTCTCTTTCTCTCTCTCTCTCTTTTTTTCCTCTCTCTCCCTCTCCTTTTCTCTTCGGTTTTTCTACTTACTCACGTTCTGAAAAAAACTTAAGGTACTCCGCCGTTCTAACAGCCGTGCCATAATTTCGCGCGATCGATGCTTCACTCCGAGCATCCCGCGAACGTGACATTTTCTTCACGTGTGTCGTCTCGCGTGCACCTCGTCGCGCAAATGTGTAGTATCTATTCATTGATATTTTTAATTCTCTCGGTCTCTTCGATCATGTTCCGGTAACTTGAAAAGTTTTCTTCTATCTTAGCGAGAAATAAACATCGACAGGTGTTTCAAGCGAATGAAGATGAAGCGTTTCTCGCCCTCAATCATCCCGGGATTCTCATTCGCGCGGTGAAACAGTATCGCAACACAACTTTCGGCGAAGCCAAAGTTTCCACGCGTCGATGAATTAAGCGACAGCATTTCGGAAGTTTGCGAGGAGTTGCGCGTTGTCATCTTCCCCCGGGCGATGAGTCGTCCGATCGCGGGTTGTTTTCCGCGCAATTGTTATCTTGCGCTTGGCGCATCATCCCCATCCCATGCTTGTCTAGCGCGTACGCAAACATGGTTTTCGTAATTCGCGCGTCGGCAATTTCGCTCGCGGCGAAACGCGGTGAATGCGAAGCCGCGTCGCTTCTTCGTCGAGACGCGTCGCGATTATGTACGTAGCTGTGAGAAAGCTTTTCGAAGAAGAAGAACGAATGAACGAGCGAGCAAGCGGGGATCGATCGTGCGTCATTCGCGGTTTTTTTGAACGGAATCGAGAGCTTGTGTGCAGTCGATAAATTTCCCCTATTAATCTCACGGCGAGCAAGCGGAGGAACGATGGATCTATTTATTCTTCGGCGCAATTAAGTTTTTATCGTATTCATCTTGCTCTCGCTCTCGGGGCAACGGGGACTCTCTCTTTCTGTCACGCGTTACACTCTTGCATACACATGTGTACGTGTGTGTGTACACACACATATGTATACTCGGACGAATAAGAGGAAAGAAAAACAATTTCGCTCGCGCGGAACGCGAGGAAGCGCATAAATCCGCGTGCGTGCCGCGCGCTCATCTCGCGCGCGTGAAATATCACCGTCCTCGAGAAGGCGCGCGCGCGTTTACCGAGATATTTATTATATCTCTCCGCGGTGGTGGTAACGGGACGCTAACGCCTTAAGACGATTCCCCGGTACTTTGTTTCTTCTCTCGGTAATCGTTCTTTTGTTCGTTTTTGCGTATGCACCTGTTACCTCTTCTGTTTCGCCCCCAGGTTTATTTTTCTCGTCACCAACGAGGAAAATAGCATCTTGTTACGACGCTCAGTTAAAGCGCTTTATCAAAGAGGAATTGGGAGAAATTGTTGCTTTTCGTGCTTGGCTGGATGTCGGTACGGAGGAGGGCGCAAGTAAATGCGGAGGACGAAGAAAGCGGGAGGGAGAGGGATGGTCGGGCGCAAGAAGCGGCCGGGGGAGGAAACTACCGAGAACTCGTTACGTCCATTTGGTGAATTTCCCTCGTCTCTCCGTTTTCTTTCCTTTGTGTATCTTAAACTTCCGTCTCTGTTTTCTCTCGCTGTTAGCGAAATGACCAGGTGACTCCCTCCGTAGCTCTCTTGCGTGCCCGCCATTCGGCGGAAACGTGTTACTTCTTTATTTTTACATCAGCTGCTGACTTCCTGTGAATCTATTTTAAAAACTCACTCGCTCAATAATTGCGAAAGTCTCGAAGGTAGAAAAAAAAACAAAAAAAAACGAGAAAGATAATTTATATTTCAGGAAAAAAAAAAGATAACTCGCGGGTTTTAACTAGATTGTGTATATTTGCCGCGACGACGGTTTCTTAGAGCGGCAAACATCGGATTCTTTGAAAAATTTACGCTCGCCGAGACGTGTCCTCAAAGTGTTACGTTTGCCGGATGGGGAAAAGAAATGACTGGAGGGGAGCGACGGAATCATGACGTTTCAAAGGCGCGGTATCGGGTTTCCGCTTTCTCGCAAAAAACGAGCCACGACGTCGTCGTCGAGCTATCGAGAGGTCGGCAAATAGAAACAAACAAGCAAAAAAAAAAAAAAAAAATTGCATTTCTGCGCCACACAACTCCGACTTCTGAATGTAAATGATCCTTTACCGCTACCCGAGGAATCGGGAAGCGAAAGGAGAAGAGATGAAGGAGAGAACATCTCGAATATATTGGCCGAGTTCAAACGCAAAACAAACGTTGAGAAAAACTCGTTTGATCTCGAAGAAGATATCGGAATAATTCGACGCGATTCTCGTTTGACTGTTTCGATTCGCTTAATTGGCTTCTTGACCATTTTCTTGGGTATTCTCTTGTGATCCAGAGTGCATTCTGCATTACGACGTCGCGAGCGAAATAACAGACAATGCCAACGACACGGCGCCACTTCTAACGTGCGAGACCGTCGTCATGAAAGTGTCACCTTTTGCTTGCGCCGCTTCAAAGGGTTTGCAGGGAGTATGTGTGAGAGAAAGAGAGAGAGAGAGAGAGAAATGAAGGGAAAATAAGAGAGACAGAATTATGGAGAGTTGAAGAACCCTACGACCTAAACACACACAAAGAGAGAGAGGGAGAGAGAGAGAGAGAGAAGCTGAGAGTTGTAGGTGTGTGTGTTTCAAAGTTTCCACACCGGCGCCGGAAGTCGGAGTATGGAAAGCAGATGGCCGACGGTTGACAGGAAGGATATGCGGTTCTCCGCATATGTCACCCCCGCGAGTTTCGACACACACTCACGCGACGACGGACGAGAAAGTCGAGCGGCGCCAACAATGCGACCACTTTCCACTATTTGTCCAGAAAGCTAGCGGACAGTCTTGTATGGCGTGTCAAGTGCCGACACGTGGATCGACACACAACGACGGTTCGTTTACAATTTTAACGTCGATGATAATTACACACGTTGAGCAGTTTTACGCATTCGTTTTCATACCGAGCGTATCTATCGACCACGTTGAAGTTTCTCGTTTAAACGTGCAATTTTGAAAACGAATGTTATCATCGTCGGAACATAATGCGCACGTAGACAGGTAAAGAATTTTGTGACACGCCGATTGCTTTTTTGAGGTCTTACTACGCTATTTATTTGTATTGGGATACACATTTATTTGATAATAACTCATCGAGTGTCGTTGAAATCAATGTTTACTCGTCAATAACATGTGTTACATTGTCATTTGGTCTTTGAATAGATTTTGTCAACTCTCTTTGCGCACTTGAAATATCTCCATCCTGTTTCTCGATTTCGCGTATACGCGCGCCGCGTTGTTTAATCCTTCCGCTCCAGTTAATGCGCCATACAAACGCTTGATTTCCATTAACATATATCATTCGCCAAGTTTTACAATTAGGCGTCGTTGCGCAATTCATTCATTCGTATCGTTTTGCGTATAAAATCGAGATAAAACGCTCATCGAGCTGTAACAATTCGAACTGTTCGCAGTAATCGATATATAAAGTAGGGTTTTGCGGTAATTGGTTTTTTTTTTTTTGCCTCGATTAATAGAAATAAAATATCACATATAAATTATACGCGGGAAAAAAATTTTGCTATTATACGATCAGCGAAAAAAATTTAGCCAAACCTATTGAATTTTATGTTTTGCCAAAAAAACATTTTGGGACGAGATCTTGTGCTCCCAATGACCGCTATCGGCGATCGGGATCTGTACAAATGTTTTCTGTATAAACGAGATGTACGCCAGCAATCAGGATCTGTGCAATAGTCAATCTGAGCAATTAAGATCTGCGCAAACAGAGAGATCTGTGTCACTAATTGCATAGTTAAACGTAATCGAGTTCGTTGATTGCTTAAGTAGTGATTACAAAAAAAAGAAAAAGGTTCCCACGCTTTCCTCTTTTACAACGTTTGACATATTTTTTAATTTAGAAAAAATTACTAAGAATACAATTGCGTTATTTACATTTCCTATCATTTACAAGTACTTTTCAAAAAGATATCACACTTCTTGTCAAAATTTAAAAAACATAAGTATTCAGTATAATACTTATATTTATACTTATACTTATTATTTCATATAATACTTATATGAAACAATAATGTCTTAAATTTTAACGAGAAAACAATACTTGAAGGATTTTTTGTAGAAGTTGTAACAAAATAAAAATATAGAAAAATGTGATACAAATGTCACTTTGAAAAAATTTCGTTCTCGTGCGCAAGAATTCAATACGGAATTGACATCGTCGAGAGAAATATTGTACAATAATTTTCTGACATTGCTCTGACGCGTTGAAATTTGGAATTATCTAAGACAAAACTACAGTTAGTGCTACAATACGCTTTGGAGAAATAATATTAATATAAAAATTATTAATAACAACGTTCTTGTATTACATTCTCATTCTGCACATTCGCTCATGTCACATTCTCGCGATTCGAATTTAAGACTTAAAAATCAAGAGTGCCACCACGATCGCAATTCCACCTAGAAGCAAGTAGAGAGGAAGACCAGTTCCTTTAACGTCACTTTCCGTCTTCTTCGCATTGTATCCTGACACCCAGCCCTTCTTCGGCTGTTTGTTCGTTTTTTCCGATTCGACAAGCACGCCCACCTGGTACTTCTTCATCAGCTCTAAGGCGTCCTGCGAGTGACCGACGTCGTCGAAGTTATCGGACGCATCCCTGCCCTTCTGCTCTATCAGAACCTCCTCTCCTCCCGGATGCTCGTTGAGGAACGCGTGTACGTTGTACACTTTATCGTGTATGATGAACAGGTTATTGTCTTTATCTTGGTTATTCTCGATCTCCCTTCTGGTAAACTGCTTCTCCGCCATATTTCACCGTGTGTGCTTTGCTGATGTATTTTTTGTCTTACGTAATTTCAACCTGAAAACAACAAATGAATATTGAGGACTGTCAGAAGTAGACGTAGATAACGGTGTAACTGATAACGTATCGTTCCAAACGAGTCAATCTTTATGTATGCAGGTTTTCTAACTTGACATAAATCAAACATCAAATAACTCTGGAAACGTAGACTTTGACTTGCATGTGTGAGAGACTTCGTCAGTTCTCTTTTTTTTTTTTTTTTTGATAAGAAGTAATGAGAAACGATAATTCAAATAAGAAGTTTCGATTAGCAATTATTAGAAAATACAATAAATTAGAGATAAAAAAAATATGTCAAGGATGAGCAATTCCATTAGATGTTGCGTCATCGGTTCTATAAATACGAAAGAAGGCATTTCCAAACTATATAACGAGCTTTATTTTGTTCGAATTATTTAGTTAACAAATAATAAGTGAAATATTTTAAAAAAATTAAAGATTACATTTTGTTTTGTGCACGCGTAAATGTAAAAAGTGAAATGAAAAGAGAGAAAGAGAACAACATGATAAGATTTTAAATAAGCGAAGCACGGCAATTGACACACTAAGAGAAGTATTGTTGCACGATATCTTACGAGCCATCTGATAATGTCGACGTAGCTGACTTACGTAACCGCTTATAACAGACTTGTTCTCTCGTCTCTTTTAAACTACTACAAATTTTCTATAATTATTAGTTATTTTATTGTACCTATTTATAATGTTTTTTATCATTTTTTTTTTTTTAATGATCACAAGCTGTAAATATTTTACATTTCAAACAGTGTTACGCAGCAATGTTTGTTGAGGCGCGATTGACGAACTACCGGATGATTTTTAATGATTATTTCCTTAAACGTATTGATATCGATGTTTAAAAGTCGGCTCAACGTCGTATCGCAATTTCTAAGTTGCAAAAGACAGAGAAATTTCTGAGGAATACATCCGCATCGTTACAAAACCCGAACCATTAGAAAACCATTAGGTAATAAGTTCTTTGAAATTTATGTTGCGCGCTTCGTAAAGTAATTTTCTGAAAGTAGGTGCAGGTAGAGAGACGGTTTTCAAAAGAAACCTACATTTTACGTAAATGGAGGTTTTGCCTCTCCGAGAGGATCTTCCGAATGAGTTTTTTTAATTCAACCTTATTACATGTGTAAGCGGAAAAGTAACAACACACACAAAAATTCCAAAGAATCACCGCAGTTTTTCTGGAATAATTTCTTTTGTCTTCATCTATCAAACCGTCACTTCAAACTTCGTCAATCTTGTTCAACACCGAACGAGTTTATCTCCCGTGACGTCGTCGCTTTTCGTGTTTTCACGTGCGGAATACTGATTGAAAACTCCGAACGCTTCCTCTCGGAGTAAACATCGCTCGCGCGCGGGCGAGTGAAGATCATCTCATCGACGAAATCTTAGCCGAGCAAACAAGATACGGGGATTCGCGAAGTATATATTGGATCGATAGGAAACGTCTTCTTCCGTTTCCTATCGGGATGAACTCGCGCGGTTGTGTCGAGTCTATCTCGCTTTCGAGACGAATTCTCGTCCACGAGAGATCGCGACTGGCAACAAGAGCAACGTCATCACAAACCTTGTATGTTTCTTCCTCAAGCGAGACACAGTTGGCGATGATCGTGTAAATACATTCGTTATCAGAGAAAGAGATAGAGCGTAAAGTTTGTGACCCACAGGTGCGATTCAGGTGCGAATTGCGCGACGATTTCCCGTTGAAAACGAAAATGTTGCGCGAGCGAACTCTCTTCGAAGCTGCGTTCGCACGAACACTGGTAAATACGCCTTGACCGCGGAGCTTTATGTTCCCCTCTTTTTCATCATTCTCTCTCGACCCCACCAGCTCGTCAGTTATCTGAAGGTCAGCTGAGTGTTGCCAGCCGTCTAACTGCGATATATTCTTGCTGTCAGAATCTACTTTGATGTTGTTACCAATATTACTGTCGGTATCTTTCCAGTTTATAAAAGAACATGAAATTCGTAGGCTGAATTAACTGGATTGCAAAGAAATCACAAATATCAGTTGTGCAGGATAACAAGTAATATAAGATAGAGAGGGAGTGTTACAGAAATTTAAGCTAAGACATTAATAAATTTTGACGTTTTATTCTTACAAAACGTTCAAGCACTTGTGCTAAAAAAACAAAATTGCGTTTCTTTCTTACGCGTAATTAGATACCGTCAAAGAAACTCTCTAACAACAATTTTCATAATTTATTTTGTGTAAGAAACAATTCTTAGCGCAGTCGCAGACAGTTAGTGAAAAAAAAAAAGAAAAATGAAATATGGTTTATGTGAGTAATAGTTTTTTTATTTGCATTTATTAAAGTTAACAAATATGCACATCGAAGTCAGCACGTTCAATCAATAATTATGTTACGTTTTATGATAGATACAAAGATTTGTATTTACATATTTGAATATTACTCAAGACACAACAACATATGTTGTATACTTTAATCGCATGATTGGTCATCAGCATTTTTGTTGCGCAATATTTAATACTAAGTTTGCTTTTATATGATTGTGATACAACAATTCTCTCAAGACTTTATATCGAGAATACGGACCAAAGAAAATAATTTTGTCGAACGTAAAAACAATAAAACTTCAGTCGTTAATACGGCGATATAGAAATGGATAACTTCAGAGTAAGAAGTTCTGGAAGATGCGCGTAACAAAACGGAACGTTATCGCGATTTTTTTTTTTTTCTTCAAGACGAAGTGCATCTATGTAGCCATGATGTTCAATTTATACGCGAATACGTCTAGTCATCGTGACACGTATTTATCATGTTTAAGTCGCGGGAAGATAAGTCTACCGTCATGTCGCTGGAATGGTGTAAGTGATGTAGTCACGATGTTGGTCTAACTATGTAACATTATCTCGAATGTTTTTCTCATATTATCGAATTATCAACCAGCGCGATAATGCAGTTTTTTTTTGTTTTGTCGTCCACAAGAATAAATTTTATGGAACGTATATTTTTGGATACCTATCGTTCCCGGCGGTCTTCTTCGCGCGTCACATAAATTTGAATAATGCACGCGATCTTCAAATCGGTGATGCGCCAACACTCTTTTGGTTACACGTTACACGTGGCTTTCTTAAGCGTAAATACTTGAACGAGGAAAAAATATGCCGAACATTAAACAGTTAAATGAGGCGCGAGTTATATCTAAGCAAGCTGTATATTTTCTAAACAAATATTGCTTTTGTTTTTTTTTTTCATCATGTAATGAATTACTGATAAACAAAAAATCTTTTAATTTGTAAAACAACGGCGCGCGTATAATTTTGCACGTCGCACTTTTACACACAAATTTATAATTTATCTTTTATCAGAAGCCTACAAAGATAAGATGTTTTTCGAACGGGAATTTTGTTGTTTGCGTAATGCAATGCACTTGTTACACACAAATAAACAAGTTAATGGCTTCACAAAAATTATAAAACAAAATTTTATTCTCTTCAGAAAAATAATTTTTGTTTTTGTATACAAATTGATTTGCTTTTTTTTTATTTACATATTGTAGCGCGCATTTCGCAAATCACGTTTCTAATTCAGCGTAACCATATGTAATAAATAATGACAGCGTAAACTAGAAAACCGATGATGAAGATCATTGGCGATCTCTCGTCCTTCGACGGTGGTACGTAATCCCAGTTGTCGTCGTCCGTCGAGTTCGCATCTGGCAAAGAAAAGAAGCAATGATCTTTTGCTTAAAAGATAACAATATATAATATCAAAGCAAAAAGTTGTTGTCAGACAACATTGTGAAAATGTTTAACAAATATGATTTATAACGCCGATGAAATTTCCTTGTACCTCTGCTCGATTCGTCTTTCTTCGTATTATCACCTGCGCCTGCATCGTCTTCTATCAGTTCGCCAATTTTGAACTGCTCTCGAAGCATCTTCGCCTCGTGAGAATGGCCGATATTATCGAAGCATGTTGTCCCGTCTCCTCCCGCCAAGTCCAGCAGCACCTCCTCGCCGCCAGGATGTTTCTTGTAGAACGACGTGAGATTGTAGACGCTTCCGTGTAGTATCATCCACAGATCGTTCTCGTGGTTGTGACGAGCGACCTCCTCGAGCGTGTAGATGTCAGACATGCTGCATTGACAAGAAAAGTTTAAACACACACAACAATATAATATGCAAAGAGGAAAGACGTAAAACTCCTAACTAAAAACTATGTCTTTCTACGGGACTTGTATATATTTATTTTTATCTTGTATATATTTATTCTATACATCTTTCTACGTACGTAGGTACGCAGAAAGATATATGGAAAGTATGTAAATATTAAACGTGTTATCTATAATTTAAAAATTCAAATTTCTTTTTTATATTTTTTTTCGCTTTTAACTGCCGCGTTTTTCCTTCATACGCTATGTAAATTTTTCTATATCGTGTGTCGATTTACATCGAGGCTTAGCGCGTCTCTTTCATACACGTCACCTTCGAGAAGAGCACACACGTGTACGTGACCTATTCCGAACTGATCTTCGATCAGATCGGATAGAAACACTTTCAAGGAGACACTTTGAAAGGGAAAACAGATTTTTTTTGTCGAAACGATGAAGACAGAAAAGAACCGATGACGATGACGACGACGACGACGACGACGTTGCACGTTCTCAGTGTCTCGCCTATTCAGAGTCACTGTTTCTGCGGCCACTGCACCGCGTTTTCTCTTCCTCGGACCGGTCGACAGTGAAAGCCGGTCTTCTCGCGCGTTTTCAACATTAAAAAAACGCGTTGATTTCCCCGTCCACATCTTGCCATATTTTTCACCTAGCATTTCCAACGATACTTAAGATAATCGTTCGATTTTATCAAGACAATTCCAAAGATTTTTCGTTGTCTCAAGATGTTTTACAAACAAACTGTTTGTATACGTAAAATAATAAAAAAATACGCGTATAGAGATGTAATTAGCTGTTTTTCCCCAGGCTCTGTTTTTTCTTGTTTTCCTATTTTACTTGTCAAAAGAGAGTGAGGTGTCTCGAAATCGGTTGACGTATAGCGCTCTACTGCATTCTATTAAATTAATTAAGTATTCAGTTTAAGTCTTTGCGACCCAAATCCAATGTCCGTCCCAAATTACGTGTATAAGTTACGAGTTTTTATAATACATCGGTTATATTTAAAGAATGTAAATTTCTTACTCTATTAATTTAAATAGTGGAAACATCAGATTTCTCACCTACATACTTCGGTGATGATTTGATAAAAGGATGAGAATCTCGAATTGTCATGCGAGATTCTCATTTTGTCATTCGCGTTTTTAATATTCCAATCCGCGCGCGTTAGATCAGAATTTGTATTATCGGTTATTTACCTGGCGTGTTCGACAAGAGAACGGATGTAGCTCCAGAGAGAATGCGACAATGTACGCGAAAGAGGAGCGCACGTATCGAGTATTTGATTTTCCGAAGTCACTGGAGCGTGTCACTTTGAAGACGTTGCTTCTGGTTCTCGCGCACAATGGTAATCGAGACGACGCTAAATTTCGTGAATACTTCACCTCGCAAACGATGCTCGCCAACGAATGTGAACTATGGAACCTATCTTCATATTAATGTACGCGACGCAAGTGGGGGCGTCTTTATAGTTTCTATCCGGCGATGATTTGCAGAATGCGACACAATGGTGACAACATTGGGATTGTTAATTCGTAAGATAGACTAGTTCTTTTTAATTTTTGTCACTTGACGATTCTCACTCTTAATTTGTTAAAAATCAATTTGAATCGCTTTTAGAATGTATATTGTCGTAATTAAGTTTTATATGAATGTTTCGATTAGGTGTGGAGTGCAGTAGAAATTTTAATTTCTCGAAAAACGGACGATTAAAAGGAATTTAAAAGACAGTAATATAAAAATGTCAATTTTTGAATTTAATGATACATGACGAGTTGGAAAAGCCGAGCGTGAATGTGGATTGCGAACAATAAAACTTGGTCTTTTGTATTGATAAAATGTATTGTAAAAACGTTTAGTCTATATATTGCAGTTCTCTCTCTTCGGTTTACTACAATGAGGGTCCGTTGCTATAATAATTTTTATTGTAGCAAGTCTTCTTGAAGAGGATCGCAAAAAAAATGTATTCACAATACATTTTATTAATTCAAAAAAGAAATTTTTATCGACGACCTACATCCTTACTCGGCTCTTTCAGGCTTTAAATATATCTATAATAAACCAATTGTTACAAAATGAAGAAATACAGTTATGATAATACAGTATTAAATAATTACCGACACCAAGTTCAATTACATTACGCAACAAAAAATAATGTAAATACATCGTTGGAGTATCAGTCCGGAGACAAACATTGAAATTGATATCAATTGATATTCTCAATCCGTTTAGCATTAACACAAGTGCATTCGCGGCAGAAATTCAACATGTAGGAAGTTCGCGCCATTGAATAGAGCGATTCGTGTTTAGATTAGTGCATCACGCTGTTGGTAATACTGTGAAAGTTTGCTCAACTCCGGACTTCTGCCACGGATGCCACTGCGGCACGGAACTGTTGAGCGAATTTGCAGCTTATTCTCGCAAAGTTGTTCCTCGTCTCCGGTATCTTCCCAGTTTCATGAGCTCCTCCGAAGTTCTTTGAGCGTTGCGTAGAATTACTATAAGCGAGTGCGTGTCATCTCGCGCGCCCTTAACTTTTACGCTCTTCAATACAAACTTAATTAATTAATTATGTCAACAAAGTACGTACATAATTTTACATAAGTCAAACACTAAGAAGAGGCGTCACGGAATTTATATATATATATATATATATTTTTATATCTATAAAAAAACAAAACAAATTTTTCTCTTGCGGAGAAAAATTTATTAAATTGTACCGCGCAAGATAAAATGAAATCGGACATATACTGAGTTCGCGCGTCCTTGAAAAATCTCGGGAGATTAAATAATTATTTTCCCCGACTCTTGAATATTCAAACGGCAAATTCGAACTCTCGCCGAGGTAAAGTTCAGCGATCGTAGAGAGAAAACTTTTGGAAGCTCTGAAAACTTTCTGGGAAATTGAAAATCTACATAGATCTCACATGAGCATGAATAAATTAAATTGTAGACAGAGTTTTGTGTGCGTTGCAATTTTCGACTGTTCGACTATTTTGAGAGTAATTCGCGCGCGCTACGTCGAGTAATTGAGAAGTTTCGAAAGCACATTCTCCGACTATATACATATATATATATATATATATATATGTATTTATATATATATATATCATATATATATGATTTGTGCGGCTATTTTTACGGCGCCTCGGTTCTTTTCGATCGATCCGCGCGCCGATGTTCCTTTCCAGTTTACCGATATCGAATGTCGGAGAATGAAAGTCTGGGGAGCGGAAGTTTCTTTCGAGAATCCCCCGGGGCGTCTTGTTCGCGAGAAATGCAAGTCAAGAAGCACTACAACGAGAAGCTTTCATCTTCACCTTTTATTTCTCTCTCTCTCTCTCTCTCTCTTTCTCTCTTTTTTCTCCGTTGCCGCGTCGATTAATTATCAAAGTCGCTGCTGGTTCCTCTCGGTAAATCTTTTTTTCCTTTCATTTTTCCCCTTCTTCGTTACTCTCTTTTTTTGTATTATATGGCATATAAATAGAGCAAAGCGTTTGTTCCCGGTAAAGATCGCGAGAGGGGGGTGTATCACCGACAAGGTAACGCAAATGAAAACTTAATGCGACAACGCTCTCGTAGGTTGGGGAAAAAAAAGGTAGCAAAATAGCGTCGCGCGCGTAACAAAAAGAATTTATAGCGGTAGAAAAATTTCACATAAAAATATACCAATTAATCGTAATACACCGATTGCGCATTCAAGGCATTACATTTATTTTCATTCTCTTTTTGCGTCAAGTTCACGCACGCGTGTGCACATATTTCTGACCCTGACGGTATTACCGAAATTTAATTAATTGGATTAAAATTCGTATTTAAATTTATCCGGCGTTCGAGAGCGTCGGGCTCTCGAGCACCTCGTGTGTCGTTCCATCGATTTTTTCTTTTCAAATTGTTTCGAGAGGGTAATAATAACGCGACAAGCTTTTATTTCTTCCCGTTTATAAATTCTATTGTTCAATTATTAGATATACCTCCGAGCGATATCATTTGCTCGCGTCGACGTTTATTTGCCGGTGCGATCGAGTTGAATTTCATTCTCGCTCGAAATAAAAACGCGTACAACTCTCTTTTTGTCCGTGTTCCTTTTTTTTTCTCGTGCGCACGCTGCGTCGAAGACGTATTAAAATAATTAAATTTGTCGCGTCGCGATACACACAAGAATAAATAAATTCGTTCAATTGTCTTCTCCGTCTGTGTGTCTCTCAATTCTCTATCACTCCATGGGATTACCCACCGTAACCAGACACGCGTTTGTTGCATTACGTTACAATACGTACCGGACACGTCTGCGCCGGAAACGTTTGAACGGACCTATAAGCGCGGGAAGGAAGAAGAGGGGATTGCTGGAGGAGGGTTGCTTTGATCTGCGTAATTAAACGGCGCGATTTCTCCGTACACAATGCCACATTTGTCGAACACGGTGTTGTACGCGCGCATCGAGACTAGATCGTTATCTGTTTTGGATATTTCGCGTTTGAGCGCACACCGATGGGCTGTCGATGGTATCAATTTCCCGTTGTTGCGTTATTCGAATATATACATATATATATACATATACATGTATATATCTCCGAAGCTATATATCTCCGCCGCGAGCCGAGAGAACGTACGCGCGCATCACTTTTCCGACAGTTCATTGTGTCTGCCGTTTCTCTCGGCATAAATACCACGAGGAGAGGTGTCCTGCTCGTGTTACCAGTCTGTTTCGTGCGTCGCCAATCCCCTACATTATACTGGCCGCGAAAAAAGCTCGTTGATAGCTTCGCGAACGACAGGTCGAACTAGCTCGAGAAAAATTCAAGGGCCACGAGTGGCTGCGTTTCTTCTCTCACGAATGAAGAGGGGTGTCTAGCGTGATCGTGATCTCGGAAAGTATCCCGGGGGAAGGCGGTCTGTTAACCGACTATCAGCACGCGATCTGACCATTGTCGTCTCTGTCGGGGTGTTATTACTTTAGAAACCTCCTCGCGCGGGGCGAAAGAGAAACGGAGTGCGGATTAGCGGGGCAGCGTGTACGAAAACATTCGAGCGTCGTTAAGTCGTTAACCAAGGGATGGTGGTGTGAGGTGAGAGTCGTCGAGGTGGATTGAACACAGACAGATAGACAGACAGACGGACAGACGGATACCGCCTTTCATGAGTCACGATGGATTATCGTCGAACGATTAAAAGGAAGACTCGCGAGGAATGACGTTGCTTGATTAACCGTGTTATTATTATCCGCGTTACATCGGCTCGGGGAGGGAGGGGATCAATTGTCAGTCGAGGGTTGAAACGCGAGGATCGTTGAAAACTCGAAGCTGAAACTTGTGTGAAGTTGAATTTTACCGAGTCTCTTAAGAATCGACGAAGTTGGTTATAGTCGTCCTTTCCTCTCGGAGTTTTACCGGAGGAAACTATTCGAGATTTCACCCTCGGAGAGAGTTCGCTTCCCCTCCCCCGATCGTAACGGGGAAGATTCTAGGTAACTTCCGATGCAAATCGATATACGCGGAAAAGTTTCCCATCCGTTCGTTTTCCCCGATCTTTTTAAATGGCTGTCGTCTGACGCGCTCGGATATTCTTTTATATTCCAGAAAACCGGAGCCAGAATCAAGATCTATTCGAACACCTGCCCTCGCAGCACGGATCGTCTCATCAGCATCTGCGGGAAGCCCGCGACGTGCATCGAATGCATACGCGATCTGATCGCCACCATTAAGACCGTAAGTATTATATCGGGGAAAGATCTCATGACTTTTCTATAAATCTTCGGTTATTTCCGCACTTGCGAGCGAACACGATCTTTTTGTTAGGCGCGGATGATTTGTTTTTATGTCTTGTAACGTTTGAATTCTGCTCGCGCGTCATTTTAGCGGGGTCATAAATGACAATGAATCGAAAAAAAAAATCGATTCTTTTATTTTACAATTAGTAAATTATTTGGATTTCAATTCTTTTATGTTCGGTGCTTTTTTAACTATTTGTATTTTGTTTGTCTTAAAGAACTTTTGTTTTCTTTCGAATAAGCACGCAGAAGATTAATCTTTAAGGAAGAAAGAAAAAAAAGAACATTCTTTGTTTGTTAATTTTTAGTCGCCACTGAAAGGTGTAAACAACCCGTACGATCCGCACAATTTCGACGATTATTATGCTGATGACTACGGCGGCTACGGCAATGCCGACGGTGGTCAGGGCAAGGTCGGCGGATTTGGCGGACCCGGTGGTCGCGGCGGTGGTGGCGGCGGCGGCGGCGGCGGTGCTGGAGGCGGTGGTGGCGGGATGCCACCAAGGCGAGACAATCGCGGAGGTGGCGGCGGCGGAGGCGGCGGCGGTCCGGGTGACATGAATCGTGGCTTTCCACCACCGAGAGGCGGCCCTCGTGGCGGAGGTGGCGGCGGCGGTGGTGGAATGTCCGGTGGCCCGGATCGCGGTTACGGCAATTCACGCGGAGGCGGAGGAGGCGGTTACGACGGTGGTCGAGGTGGTGGCGGTGGATACGGCGGTGGCGGCGGTAGCGGAAACCGAGGCGGACCACCCTACGGCGGCGGAAATTATAATGGTAAGGAGGGAAGAAATCCTGTTGAAAGTGGCGACGGGGTCAGAAGCGCGATGTCTTGATTGAGCGTTTTTATGACTCGTTTGAGGACTCGAAAAAAAAAAAAAATTAAAACGCAAAAATTCCAATACGGAGATAAGATAATAAAACGTCCTTTGTTAAATCGTTATCGCCGAAATATCCGAACATATGTACGCTCTTGAAACACGATTACGTTAGTGTGGTCCTTATGTCGCAGGTGACGGATGGGGAATGCAAGGAAGTGCGCCCAATGGCTTAGGTGGCGGCAATCAGGGAATGGGTGGCCCTCCTATGGGAAATAACCAAGGCAACCAGGGTAACATGAGCGGAAACAAGACCAGTACGCAAGTCACCATTCCTAAAGACGTAAGTCACTTTAGTTGTTTTTTCGTGACAAAAACACAAATATTTATTGATCACATCTTTTTGAAGTAGAATGTAATTAAAAAAAAAACGATGTTTTAAATGTTTACAGTTGGCCGGAGCCATAATTGGCAAGGGTGGCGCGAGAATTCGAAAAATTAGATCGGACAGCGGCGCCGGAATAACCATAGACGAACCATTACCTGGTAGTAATGATCGTATTATTACTATTACGGGGATTCCAAGTCAGATTCAAATGGCCCAGTACCTGCTGCAGCAGAGGTAATTGTCACGATATTTTAGTCGTGTAATACTATTGAAGCTAGATGTGGGTAATCGCTTCTCATCTCATGTGTTGTTAACATTTAAAACACATATGTTCGTATTATGTGTCGGTGAAAATATGAAATCAAATATTTATTGTTAATTGCGTCGTTAATATTAACAAGATATATTATAAAATGTCGATTGTTTATAGCGTTTTGTACTCACGCATGTATTTTCTCTCTTCAATTACATGATAAAAAGCCGTGCATTTGTATTTACGCCTCTCGTATTATATTGTTATTATCATGTATGCGTTGTTTTGATATTTTGCGAAGCTTCGCGTATAAAATTTTTGATGATAATAATACACGAAAAGAGTGATTGTTATAAAATAAAATCGAAGAGAAATATATAATTAATTACGTACACGTATATGTGCGTATATTAAAATTTTGAAACCTTTTAAAATATGTACGAATAACATTGTAATTACGCCATGAGAGAATAATATCGTTCGCTTCGTACTCTTCGATTTTATGCTGTCGTATCCGATTATTTGAATATAATTTTCCTCTGCCATTCGCACGCGATAATATTTCATCCGCTTGATAACCGACATCGCCGCCATCGCATCGGCTCATCCTCATCTCGCCACTAGGAAAACTAACACACTCCGACTAACCAAACGAACGAGGGTGAATGTAACACTCGCAAAAGGTGAAGGAGGACTCTCTCGAGGAGTCGAGAGAGACACAGAAAGAAAGAGAGAAAGAAACGAACGGAAAGAGGACGACGCGCTAAGAAACCGCTTCCCGGCCCGAATATGAGGGGAAAAAAAAATGGAGCACCGTTGTATGGAAGACTAGTGATTTTGTTGTTCTACTTTTGATGTAACAAGGAATCACTAATCATCCTACAAAGGCGCTCACGAACGTCGACCTTCCTGCAAATCTGCTTTTGGAACTAACACACCATTCCCGCCTGCGCTCTTCGTTTTGTTCGTCGACGCGCCGTAATAAACGCTCGAAATATAAACCTTCCTCAACAATGTGTATCTCTGTAAACGTCAAATTCACGACCGAGAAGAGTGTTAATCGCATTGTTTCTCCAATACTCCAAAATTACTCCCGGACTTCTAATAACTCTCGCAACACATAAGCTCTGTATTCGTACATACTAATGTAGTTTAAGATTTAACACTGTTATCACTGCGACTTCCAAGTATGTTTATTACTGCATTGCTCTCAGATATCAGTTATTAAGCTTTTCTCGAACAATTTGTATGTAATTTTAGTCACGCGATACGAGCTCCATTTGTCATTATGCGCTTTTTTAATTAACCCTCAGTATCATCTTTTAGAGCGCAATATATAACACACAGGAATAAACTTTTAGAACTTACTTTTAAGGAAACACGTAATACGCGATACAGATTATGTTAGAATTAATTTTTTTATTGTCTGCTTACAACTGAACGAGGACTTTTATTTTCTCTGTTGCAGCGTCCACGAGAATGCGGATCATTACTAGAACTTGGTGACGGATGTATTCGGGGGAGGGGGAGCCAAAGATGCGCTGTAACATGTTCTTTAGTTTTTTTTTTTCTTTTTTTTTTTTTTTTTTTTTTTTTTTTATGGGGTAAACACACACGTACATTGAAACACGGAAAATAATTGAAACAAGAGTACGTTGGTACGCACCCGCGTGTAGAAACGAGCGCGAGTTCGTTCGAATTTTGTAGACAGCTTTCGTCGGGCTCTGCGCGCAGGAGGATGATCTGTGTAGGATTTTAAATACACTTATATATTACACGTCAATCACCCTCTCCCAAGGAAAGGAAAACGCTTAACGGTCGATGCTAACGTGACCTTGATGTGTGGCGAGGTACTATTTTCCAGAGATAGTAGATCGCAGCCTGCGGATGCAAATCGTTTCACGAGTGGAGTACTGCTAACGTGTTTTGGATGTCGGCCTTTTTTAGTATATAGAACTCTCTTATTTGTATCGTGTCCGCGAAAGACGTACACATAATTACACTGTCGATGTGACAGCGGAGGGGTTTCAAACTGGCGAGCAACCGCGCACCATGTTCCCCGATGTTAGCATTCCTGAGAAAAACGTATTTATTTGCTATAAAGAAAAAACGATCCAAAGAATAATTTCGCGTTCTTTACAATCATGTAATCTTCTTTGTTTTCACGATCATTGTTAGATCCTGTCCCATTCACCCGATGGAATCAGTGACTTTTTTTTTTTTTTTTTTTTTTTTTTTTTGTAATTTAATTTCGAACGGTATTAGTGTGCCAATACATGAAGTAAATATAATATAATCGAGACGCTTGGCGCGAGGAACAGCCAATTTGAAACCGTGACGCGCATATAAAAAGCGACTCTTCTGAACATCGAGACCTGACAACGCACACTTTTCTCGTTACGTTTCTTTCCAGCTTTTTGATAAATTCTTTACAAATTCTAATGCTATTGAAATGAGAGTAAATGTGCATAGAGTGAATGCGAGGGCAACAGTGTCAGAGAAAAAAAAAAGAAAACGGAGAGATCGCGCGGCGAGAAAGAGTGCGAGAGAGAAAGTAAGATTTCAATAGATCATCAATATTTACAATAAAAGAACTGAGACACTAATGTAATTTTGCGAGAAGAAACCTGTACATAAGGCCCGCTATAATGTCCCTTTTCCTTCTTTAACCGACCACCACATACACTGTTTCTGCTGTTGCATTATTTACTGTAGTTATTTTTTCCTATGATTATTGAGAAAAATATTTTTTTTTTTTTTTTTTTTTGTGTTATATAATATCCCACCCGAAATCTTTGCTACTTATACCCTTCACCTACAGTGAACGTATAGAGGATGGTTCTTAGTGTTTACGTGATAAGAAGTTAAGTATTTAGAATTATATCAAAGAGATGTATAAGGTAAAGATATAGGGGCACCATCGGCGAATAGGGAACGTTACCGATCGTTCGTTTAAGACGGAACCGGCGCGTTTTTTGTACTTCAAAGCATTTAGACGTCAGAAAACGACGAATAAACTTTTGCAACTTTCAATCTATACGTTTTATAAACAATATGTCACATGCGCCGCAAATCTTTGATTGACAGACAATATGTCGCAAAATCGCGCGGGGATATCAAAGTTATTATCGAGTTAAGGGTACGAAATGCTCACAAAAGTATTTCAACACTTACTACGGAAAACTTTTTTACTGATAGAACATGTGTGTTTTATGAAATATGTATGTTATTTCAAAGCAAAAAAATGCGCCGATTTTGGTTTAAAGAATGAAAAAGCCGAACTTGAAATCCGCAACGAAGTTCATTGTATTAAATGATGTGATATCCTCACTCTCAGCAAAGATCGTGAAGTAATTTTCTGTTTTCTTTGTCCCGCTATTTATTTCGATAGAATTAAATCCAACAGATATTTCATTTCATTTTTCCAGTTATCTTTTATGAACTTGCGACTCTGTAATTTATCATTTTGTATTATATTGTACAGAGCCTTATGAGAAATGTGAATTTTTCGACAAATCGACGAATAAAAATCGACGTTGAAATCGCGACGCTGTTGCCGCTGATACGTATTGCTGCGAAGTTTTATCACACCTCCTATCGATGTGTAAAATCTTTAGTTCGAGATGTTCACGTCAAAAAAAAAAAAAAAAAAAAAAAAAAAAAAAAAAAAAAAAAAAAATAAAACAAAAAAACAGCCCTAAAAAAAAGTTAGGACCAGGTCCTAGCA